GTGCGTATGTGTATGTGTGTGATATGATGATAATTTACGAAGTAGAGTAATTACTTTGCACTCCACAGTACCGTTTAGATGACACATACCTCTCTGAAAGTTACAGTGAGGCATCAGAAACTCCAGCACAGCCTTCACGCCTGTTTCACAGCAGGTGAAGAAGGAATGGAGATGACAGTTTCTGAGGTAGATTCAATCATGTAATTTGGCCAGTAATGCAATGACAAACGACTTTTATTAAGCATGCACTTGTGCTAAACGAAATTCTTGATAAATGGCGAAAATATGTCGACAATCGAAGTTCAATCTCGAACCATTGTGGTCTTGCTGGGGCATGTCTGGGCAAATCAGCGACAGAGTTATTGGAGGGTTTCATGCGGCTGGTCGTCGAATGTGACAGTGCGGCGGAACTGAGAACAATCCGATGGCGAAGTGGCTGACTCTCAGGTCATCTCATCTCTCAGGATGTTCATGGCGTCTGATTTTTTCTTGCAGTTTTTCTTCGCGTCTTTATTTAAAATGATCATACTAGTTGATGTGATGTCGATGATCTGGTCATCATCATCGCCGATGCCGTGCAACTTCCTTCGTTTCCTGTTCTGGCGTTGTCGATACCAAATGTAGATTTTGTTAACGACGAAGCAGATAAAGAAGATGATGAATCCGACGGCCAAAAAGCCAATCACGCCGGCGATAATTGACTCTGCCTCCTCTCCGATACCAAATAATTCCACCATAACCAGTGGCAAAGGCGAAATCACTTGCCAACCAGCACACCTCACACGACGGCTAATGTTACTCAGTCAAACGCGAGCGTTCGCGATCGCTCTCTTGGCAGATCGCCTGAGAAGGAGGGCGAACGAAAGCGCTGCTTGACTCATCGAGGATTAGAAGAAGACCTCCGTCCACTGCCCGAAATAGCCTCGCCGTTGTTGAATGACCGGCGACCTAGCACGAGTGCAACTGTTCTCGTTCGTTCGTACGCGCGTTATGCTTTTATGCGCTCTTGAGTGATGCGGTTTTCTAACGACCAATGGCGCAGCCGTCAGGCATCGTCAACTTCTACCCATCTCTCTAGCGAGGAATGCACATTCCACTTGCATAATGTGTGATGCTCATCGACAGCGAGTGGCAGATGGAGGTGTGGCAAATTCTTTTTGACGGACCACCTAGGGCGGTGCCAATGAATAAAGGGGTTGGCGACTTCTTTCACTGCAAACAAATCTGTATCGATCAGCTGATCATTATCCTCGCGCTTTTTAATTAGCCTCCTCAACCTTTTTTGTGACTACCAGCTCTTCGGCAAGCTAAACCGTCAGCGGCAACACTCGTCTAGTACACGATGCAATTTGAACACTAATCAATACGAAGCCGCCTCTGCCGCAGTAGTAGGAAGTTATGGGTTAACGGCTATGGTTATGGTTAAGGATTCATCATTTCATAATAATCGACTTTGAGCGAAGTTGCCTCTCAAACAAATTTATAAACAAACGTGATGGCAGACACAAACAAAAATTGCCTACGTGTATTAACGGAACTGATGACCTATACTATTTCCATTTCGCTGCAGGATACAACAAATAGTCGACTTATAATAATGTAATATTGATTAATCCAAGCAAAGCGCTTTCTTCTGATGGTTCTCATTATTTCAAGACCCTCCAGAATTTTGCCGATTTTGGCTCCCAACCTGGATGGGAAAGGAGGCCAGTTGGAAACCGTGGGAAAGTCTTCCGTAAAACTTGGTCACGTGTTTTTTATGGCCTTGAGGTGGTCAAATGTAATAGCGGCTATTTCGCCTTGCCTAACACGGACAGCGAAGACTGTTCTGGGAAATGCAGCAGAATATGGAAGCCGGCCATCAGAACCTGCTTAACACCTCAGCTGGCGACACAGCAGTACA